AAAAAAAATCTTATATTATAATGAATATACGTGAACTTATCAGAGGTTTGCATTGGATATTTATATTAAACCCTTACATAATCTTTATGATTGCTAGACAAGCCTGTAAAAATAACACACATTTCATGGCTGAAACTCTTCACTTTGATCTTGAAGTAATGCCAAATGCATACTGTAAATATAAATGCATTCATGAGGTTAATGCATTCAGATATGGCGATTTCCTCCTTTGACTTTTACAGCTGCACTATTATTTTAATATTAATAAAATATTATTTGTATTTTATTTATATTTGTCCTTTATAAGCATTGCTATTGCATTGCTCTTACAAACGTAAGAGCCGAGAATTCATTCTGAATGACTGTATGCCTGTGTATTTAATTCAATCCATAAACCTACCACCTTGTTCGTCAGAAGTGAGAGCCAGCGTTAGCAAGTCCATTCACAGACTTACAGTGCATCCGACCTCAAAGCAAACTGTATCATGTTTGTTGGCCCACATCTTCAGAAATCTTCAATAAAACAGTGCGCATGGTGAGTCAAACAGTAGCATCAAGGTCAGTGCATGCATCCCCCACAACCATCACATATACAGCCTGATGCAGCGACGCCTCAATGCTAGGCCCTCATGAAGACTACAGAGAACACTGACACACTAGCAGCAGCAAGTGACAATATATTTCACCCTGATTAAGCTTTTCCCACATATTTATCAATACATGCATTGCATGTCAATATGACATACTCTAAAGTTAGCACTTGGCTTAAATATATCCATTTGTAATTATTTGTACTTACAGGAAGTAGAGGAATTTGAATGCGCTTTATTTCATGTTTGTAATTATTTATGAAACATTGCCTCCTAGTGGGAGATCAGCATCAAGACACCAACAGAATTTTTGTGCCAATTCCTGCAGTTTTATATAAAATACATAATTAAAGCAACATATATGAAACAGATCATCACATCATCATCATGATCATCATTATTATTATTATTATTATTATTATTTATTAGTGCTACTAAAAGTGTGACAGTTTTTTCCTTTGGTGCAATAACTTACCACTGCATAAATACACCGTTTTAGATCAATTATGTTTGAAATACACAATTATATTTATATTTATATACATCTTTATTTATGTGTTTATTTATTTGTGCTAGCACGTTCAACATTTTAGCAAATTTTCACTTATGTTAGTACAAAACATAAAACTGTAAATAAAGTGTCATATTCACTACACATGTTTTTCATCTGTAAAGTTATCATACACAGAACAAAACTGCTTTTTATAATTCTATCACTATCACATTTTTATTTACAGCTTTTAACTGACCCGTCATCTGAAAAGGTCAACTACTACAGTATCGATTCAGAGAACATTTATTGTATCGACAGTATCTATTCTAACACAAAACCTTATGGTCATCTCATAACATCATAAAACACTGAATAGATACTATTACAAATATTATTTTAAGTCAGTTACATAAGTTGTGTGATGTAAGTATATTTTCATGATAGCTGTAGCTTGTATTATTATAACATCTTTAATTAATTTAAATGTCCTCATATTAAAAAGATCTTGTGTTTTGAAACAATGATTATGTGGATTGAAAAAATATATATAATTTTGATAATTGATAATTTTGTGGATTTTTGCAGGATTTTGAAAATGTACACCTTTCATGCAAAATGGTACCAAAGTGTGGGGGGAAGCATGACATATAAGATTCTTATACACTGCAACAAAAAAAAGGCCACAATGTACTGTACTAAAATGAAGAAATTTTCCATATTGATTTTTACAGGTGTTTTACCTGCATTTTACACTTTACTGTGTCTTACAATTATTAGAAATATCCATGCAATTAATGAATAATGTCCTGACAGAAAATGACCAATACATTTTCCTTATTTTATTCAAAGGGTTCAGTACCCATGAAGCACAGATTTCAGCATCCCGGTCGCTTTCTCCTTTTATTTTAGATAACCTTTATTTTGCATGTCCTTGGTAGCATCTCATTGTCATTCATTCGTTTTTTAAAAAGTGTGTCAGCAGAGGGCAGCATCTACCAAAGAAAGACCGCAGTTTCACAGCACGACAATAATTTATTAATAATTAGGGGGCACTCATGAGCCAACATGCCATGAACACAAAATGCTGTAAGCATATTCAAAAGCTGCTGAAGATCTGCAACCCTTTATTGATATTTGATCAGAATTTTTCTCTTTTGTTCTTTTTTTTTTTTTTTTTACCTTTTCTTGTTTCTGCTCCATAGTCACATCTGAAATATAAACTGACAGCATGAAAGAATTGATTGAACATGCCTATGACACTCACAAGGAACCTTGTCAAAGGAATGCAATCACTCTTTTGATACAACCTCAGATGACCCTTTGAGAGCAGGACATAGAGGGACACTGTGACCACACGCTGAGAAACACATTCCCTTGGTGCTGATAAAAAGGAGAAGCTATTCCAGGAAGATGTTACATATCAGGCACTGTTCGGTCCCATCATGACACTTGTGTTTATGACAGAGACGTTCAGCCACTGGATCTGAGTAATTTGTTCCTTCTATCCTGTCTGCATCATATTCAGGCTGGTTGAGAATAAACTGAGCATTTTATGGCAGGCTAACTGTAAACTCTATATTTATTACCAGTTCACTTTTTAAATTCATTCACAGTTAATTTATATTGTAATCAAACTAATATTTAAGGGTCATCCCTCTGTTGCTTTGCACTCCATGCGTGGGAAAAGGCCCGCTGCTGTTCCCCTCTGAAAAGGCAAAACTGTTCTGTCCATTGACCTTGTTCCTCGGGGCTTTGGAGCTTCTGTCTCCTGTGAATTGGAGCTTTCACAGTCAGCCTTGTGCATCAGCTGCCATTTCTCATTTCTGTTATGTCATCATTAGTTCCTCACTGTTGTCATGGGAATTTTAAATATTTGAAATAATATTTTATATACAGTGGGTACAGAAAGTATTCAGACCCCCTTAAAATTTTCACTCTTTGTTATATTGCAGCCATTTGCTAAAATCATTTAAGTTAATTTTTTTTTCCTCATTAATGTTCACACAGCACCCCATATTGACAGAAAAACACAGCATTGTTGACATTTTTGCAGATTTATTAAAAAAGAAAAACTGAAATATCACATGGTCCTAAGTATACAGACCCTTTGCTCAGTATTTAGTAGAAGCACCCTTTTGATCTAATACAGCCATGAGTCTTTTTGGGAAAGATGCAACAAGTTTTTCACACCTGGAATTGGGGATCCTCTGCCATTCCTCCTTGCAGATCCTCTCCAGTTCTGTCAGGTTGGATGGTAAACGTTGGTGGACAGCCATTTTTAGGTCTCTCCAGAGATGCTCAATTGGGTTTAAGTCAGGGCTCTGGCTGGGCCATTCAAGAACAGTCACAGAGTTGTTGTGAAGCCACTCCTTCGTAATTTTAGCTGTGTTCTTAGGGTCATTGTCTTTTTGGAAGGTAAACCTTCGGCCCAGTCTGAAGTCCTGAGCACTCTGGAGAAGGTTTTCGTCCAGGATATCCCTGTACTTGGCCGCATTCACCTTTCCCTTGATTGCAACCAGTCGTCCTGTCCCTGCACCTGAAAAACCCCCCCACAGCATGATGCTGCCACCACCATGCTTCAATGTTGGGACTGTATTGGACAGGTGATGAGCAGTGCCTGGTTTTCTCCACACATACCGCTTAGAATTAAGGCCAAAAAGTTCTATCTTGGCCTCATCCGACCAGAGAATCTTATTTCTCACCATCTCACAACTCCATGCGGGCTTTCATGTGTCTTGCACTGAGGAGAGGCTTCCGTCGGGCCACTCTGCCATAAAGCCCCGACTGGTGGAGGGCTGCAGTGATGGTTGACTTTCTAAAACTTTCTCCCATCTCCCGACTGCATCTCTGGAGCTCAGCCACAGTGATCTTTGGGTTCTTCTTTACCTCTCTCACCAAGGCTCTTCTCCCCCGATAGCTCAGTTTGGCCAGACGGCCAGCTCTAGGAAGGGTTCTGGTCATCCCAAACGTCTTCCATTTAAGGAATGGAGGCCACTGTGCTCTTGGGAACCTTAAGTGCAGCAGAAATTTTTTTGTAACCTTGGCCAGATCTGTGCCTTGCCACAATTCTGTCTCTGAGCTCTTCAGGCAGTTCCTTTGACCTCATAATTCTCATTTGCTCTGACATGCACTGTGAGATGTAAGGTCTTATATAGACAGGTGTGTGGCTTTCCAAATCAAGTCCAATCAGTATAATCAAACACAGATGGACTCAAATGAAGGTGTAGAACCATCTCAAGGATGATCAGAAGAAATGGACAGCACATGAGTTAAATATATGAGTGTCA